GTGTGTGACTCATGCTCATACAGATATCTCCTCCCTCATGATAAGCACTTACAATAGAACAAATTGTAACAGAGTGAAAAATCAATATGCACTGTAAAATGTGCTGTAAAATAGTTGTTACCTTAAGGCACTTCTACCTGATATCACCCTTGAAAATGGCTGTGTGTGTGTGTGTGTGGTGTGTGTGTGTGTATGTGTGTGTATTCTACCACATTCAGATTGATTCTGTCTTATTTTTCTATTTGAAATGTATTGGCTTATATTGTTCACTACAGTTCAAAAGTTTGGGGTACGTATTATTTTTTTAAAAGAAATTAATACTGATATTCAGCAAGAATACATTCATTTGAACAAATGTGATGGTAAAAGACACTTATAATGTTACAAAGGATTTCAGTTTTAAATAAATGCTGCTCCTTTGAACTTTCCTAATAATAAATAACCTTTTCCACAAAAATATGAAGCAGCACTGATTTCAACACTGATAATAATCAGAAATGTTTCTCGAGCAGCAAATCAGCATATTAGAATGATTTCTGAAGATCATGTGACACTGAAGAGTGGAGGAATGTTGCTGAAAATTCAGCTTTGATCACAGGAATAAATTGCAATAATGTAATTCACAATGCTTCTTTTTTTACTATTTTTGACCAAATAAATGCACCTTTGGAGAACAGACGAGACTTCTTTTTAAAAAAAACATTAAAAACTTGTGTATGTATATATTATTTTTCACTGTAAATTGCAGTGTTGGAGGTGAAGTCTGCAGTGCCAATCATCATGGGTGCTAATATCGGCACTTCTGTGACAAACACCATTGTGGCTGTGATGCAAGCAGGAGACCGCAACGAGTTTCGCAGGTAAACCCAACTAAGGAGTTAGTTTTGTATCCATGCAGTCATGCAAAACATTGAACCATTGGGTCTCATTGGCATCATTTTTTTGTCTGCAAAAACAGGCTTTATGTAAAGTCAAAGTGGTGCAAAAGTTGATCTAGCACTTTTTCAGTAACTTTGAATTTACTTGCTGATGAAGGAACTCAAGTTGAACATCTGAGAAACGGGTTTTGTCATTGATTCTGTGTGCCTCAGGGCATTTGCTGGAGCTACAGTCCATGACTTCTTTAACTGGCTGTCTGTCCTGGTGCTGTTGCCTCTGGAGGTGGCATCAGGATTCCTCTATAGACTCACCAAACTTGTGATTGATTCCTTTAACATCCAGACCGGTGCAGATGCTCCAGACCTGTTAAAGGTCATCACCGAACCCCTCACCAAAAACATCATTGAGGTGAGATCAGTGGATCTGTTAGGTGTTACTATTCAACAGCATCCGTATGCAACTATATCAGGCAGCTGATCGCATAAGCTCCACTGTGTCATTGTTATTGCAGCAGGTTTATTAGGCTGCTGTCACTTTAAGACCTAATGCACAGATACTGACACTCATCCATTTTTTTTCTCTCAAACCAACCCTGTGTCCCAATGTTCATACTATCCATCCTAAATAGTATGTGTGATTAAAATAAGTGTGTCCCAAAGCATAGTATGTTGAAAAGAGTATGCCAAAAGTCCCCGGATGGTCTACTATTTCAGGTTGATTTTTGAAGTGTGAATCCGTGCACACTCTAATGGCTAATATTACCCACAAACCATTGCGCTTTGAGGAATGATTTGGTTGAGAACTACAAACATGAATAACAAGCATTAAAAAACTACAAACATGGTGGATGTGCGCGACCGATGGTTAAGTAGAGAGGTTTAGATAAAGGGGTTTGAGATACTAATAATCAACATTTAACCTGGTAAAAAACATATTTATTTAATGTCGTCTATGTTATATTTCATCTGCAACAGCAATGTAAACTTTTATAAACATCTGTTTCATCGTTAACTTTTAAATGCATCATTATGCTGAAAATATGATCAGAGTTCTCCGCATGAAGACCCGCGGCAGTAGGGCGTAGATCAATGTTGTAGCATTTGGACCAATCAGACACACATTTGTTCATTAGATTTAACAAATCAATTATTCATTAGATTAACAAATAATCACAGACCCCTCACCCAATAACCATACTGGGTGCCAGCATGTCTGGGAACAACATGGCAACCAGGACCCCTCAGCCAGATCAGATAAACTTTTACGACCTAAAAGTATGTAGAGATAATCTTCCTCCTACTCAGTTCTCTCTGAAACAGACACACACTGCTATAGGAAATGACTTCTTACATTAATTCATAGGAAAACTTTTCTTTGAATGAACACACATATACTTCAGGTCATTGTGTATGTTGTTACTGTTCTTGTATATTGACTTTTGTATTGTATACTGTTTTATGCCTGCTTATGATAGAACCACTCGTTCATGTAATCGTACCATGTTTAGTATCTATGAATTCGTCTTCTGTAGCACATTGTAGCTAATTTGCTACAATGTGCTACTTATTTTCTCTCCGATATGGTAGGAAATTAAATGAAATGAAAAGTTGAGGATATAAACTGTGACAAGATGATTGACAGGCCAGTTTACAGAGCGGACCGTTAAAGACGCAATTGTGTGACGTGATAGTATGTCCCAAAGCTTGCCTACTCTTCTACTACACACTCAAAAGTGTGTACTTTTTCCATCACCAAAAAAGTACATACATTAAGGGCGTAGTATAAGTAGGCACATTGGGACGCAGCACAACTGTTTACGAGGGCACTCGCTAAGATGGGAATTTCTAGTGTAGTGTAGTGTGTTTATCTGGACGAGTACTGAATTGACTTGAATATGACAGTATTGTACATTTTCAATTAGAATGTACAATAATTCATTTTACAGCACTTTCATAAATAAAAACTGAAGCCAAAAACACTTTGATGCACATTCTTTATTTAGCAGAAGTAGAGTTAAAAATTCCAAATTTTTTTGCAAAATGTAATTAGGCACTTAAACTAGAGAAATTTAGCGGTCTTTAAGCACCTGCTTTGCTCTCTGCTGTAACACATGTATTTTCATTGAGAATCTTTTTCTTTGTTTTTCCAGTTGGACACCTCTGTGATCCGTGATATCGCCACTGGAGACCCTGCAGCCCGAAACAAAAGTCTGATTAAGACCTGGTGTAAAACACAAAAAGTCATGGTGAGAATCTGAAAGTGGGTTAATTGAGTGCAGCACACACACCATTTCTCATTAGTCACTAGATTTGGCTGTTGAAACATGAGGAAATAGGATTTATCACGCTGATGGGAATTCAGAAGATAAACATAGGGTCTATATTTGTATATAGAAATAAAGATATGTCTGTATTTCTGTAGTCTTTTATCTAAATTCCCGATAAGCCTAGCTCTGAGCATAGCTCTGTTGCTCTTTTCTAAACCTAGCGCATTGGCTTGCTTTCTACATAGACAGCTTTCTTTAAAGGCATTTTAACTGTAATTAAACCTCACATTTGTAACACTTTACATAGGTATGTCAGCTCTGTATGACATACAACATCAAGCACACATAGATTCAACTCCCAATAGCTTGTTGTATTAGCATGATGCTAAGCTAACAATGTAACACTATTAAGCATAAGAAACAACACACACATGTTTATTGTGTAAAAAAGTAAATTAGCATATACCTAGGTAGCAACTCAGTACATCATGCAAAAACTTGTCCTCATGCACAGCACAGGGCTGCATCCAAAATTGCATACTCCCTTGAGTAGGTACTTTTTTGAATAAGTAATTACTTTGTGACCGCAAAAAGAGCATGTTCTATATAGTATGAATGTATGCAGTATGAATGTAATCTGGACGTACTACATTCGCCATGTTGTCATTGTCACGCGACCTGGCAGCATCAGTTGCATCGTGTCACTAGGTGCGTTTCCATTACCCTTCAAATTGCGCAAATTGCGAATTGAAAATACGCCTAATGGAAACGCGTCAATTTTGCAAAAACGCCCTTATATCACAAAAAAGTTTTTACGCTCGCATGAGGTGGTTTTTTAGGCAATGCGAAAAAGGAATAATTCGCAAAACTGCGCCGCGCTCCGGCTTTCCCTAATGTTAATGCTTAGATAATTTACACTGCACACGTCTGCGGTGCAGTGTGTGCAGTGTGG